TTTTTCTGTTTAGTTTGTGGCAGTGATGAGGAGGTGATATTTATAGACGAGCGTCTTCGTGAGAAGAGTGGACGGAATGGAGATGGTAAGCTAATCTCTCTCCTAAGTATTCAGTATCACGCTTTTTGTATTATTTTCCGGTTTAGTTTGTGGTAATGATGATGGTATTTATAGACGAGTGTTTTGGTGAGAAGAGTGGATGTAATGTGGATGGTAAGCTGGTTTCCCCTCTTAAGTATTCAATGTCACCTTCTGTGTATTATTTTTCTGTTTAGTTTGTGGTAATCATGATCAGGTGATATTTATAGAATAGTGTTTTGGTGAGAAGAGTGGATGGAATGGCGATGGCAAGATAATTTCTGTCTTACGTATTCAATATCACATCTTCTGTATTGTTTTTCTGTTTCGTTTGTGGTAATGATGATGAGGTCATATTTATAGAAGAGTGTTTTGGTGAAAAGCGCGGATGGAATGGACAGGGTAAGCTGGTTTCTCTCTTAAGTATTGAATATCTCGTGGACCGCATAATTTTTCTGTTTTGTTTCTGGTAATGATGGTAAGGTGATATTTATAGAAAAGCGTTATGATGAGAAGAGTGGATGGAATGGAGATGGCGATCTAATTTGTCTCTTCCGTACTCAATACCACGTTTTTGGCATTATTTTCCTGTTTAGTTTGTATTAATGATGCTGAGGTGATATGTGTAGAAGAGGGTTTTGGTGAGAAGAGTGGATGGGATGTAGTTGGTAGGCTAATCTCTTTACTAAGTATTTAATATCTCGTTTTCTCTTAAATTTTTCTGTTTACTTTGTGGTAAGGATGATGAGGTGATATTTGTATAAAAGCGTTATGGTGAGAAGAGTGGATGGAATGGAGAAGGCAAGCTAACTTGTCTCTTACGTACTCAATACCACGTTTTTTGTATTATTTTTCTGTTTAGTTTGTATTAACGATGATGAGGTGATATCTACCGAAGGGTGTTTTGGTGAGAAGAGTGGATGGGATGTAGATGGTAAGCTAATTTCTCCCTTCAACATTCAATATCACGTTTTCTCTATAATTTTTGTGCTTAGTTTGTGGTGATGATGATGAGGCGATATTTATAGAAGAGCGTTTTGTGGGAAGAGTGGATGATATGGAGTTGTTAAGCTAATCTCTCGCGTAGGTATTCAATGTCACGTTTTCTGTATTAGTTTTCTGTTTAGTTTGGGGTAATGATGATGAGGTCATATTTATAGAAGAGTGTTTTGGTGTGAGGAGTGGACTGGCCGTATACATGATTTTGTTAATAAAAAGATACCGATAGGTGACTTTCCTTAAACAGGTGACTTTCAAGTTCACGAGGAAGAGACATACGATATTTGTTAAGGGGAAGTATGGGGTACATCTCTTAGATAGAAAAAATAACAAGTTCACAAAACTCGCGTACTCAATACTGACATCTGTTAGGGGCCACTGCTCCCTCCAAAAGAAAAAGGTAGTGGATAGAAACAAAGTAAATACCTTTCAATGGGTATTACAAACAACGACAGCAATAGCAGCCGATGATCAAGCATAAATATAAGAAAAAGCTACAAAAGTAGGTGAGCCTCTTGTTTTTAAGCCTTTATTTCACCTAAGTTGCTGCGTTTTTTCCACACCCGTGCAGAAATGATTCAATTTTTTGGGTCACACATCTAGATCCAAGTGCACGTGCATCTAGATTAGGTATGCACCGGTATCGGTATTCATACCGATACCGAAAATACCGAACACCGATTCATACAAATAAGATCAGTAAGAAGAGCAGTTTCTAGTAATTAAAAAGAGAATGTATTGCTTCGTTCTTTGATGTTCCACTGGATCGAAAATGCCTGCGTTTCGGTCTCAAGCATGCGTTCGAAGAAGGAAGAAAAAAGAAAACGACTCAATTTCTGATCACATTATGATTTTTCTGTTTAGTTTGTAGTAATGATGATGAGGTGAGTTTTATGAAAGAG